CCCATTTTAAAATGAAATACAATTTTTTTTTGCAGGCAACCAATCTACAGTGAGGGAAAAAGTATTTGATCCCCTGCTGATTTTGTACGTTTGCCCACTGACAAAGAAATGATCAGTCTATAATTTTAATGGTAGGTTTATTTGAACAGTGAGAGACAGAATAACAACAACAAAATCCAGAAAAACGCATGTCAAAAATGTTATAAATTGATTTGCATTTTAATGAGGGAAATAAGTATTTGACCCCTCTGCAAAACATGACTTAGTACATGAAAGGGACGATGGACGGGGCCATGTACCGTCAAATCTTGGGTGAGAACCTCCTTCCCTCAGCCAGGGTATTGAAAATGGGTCGTGGATGGGTATTCCAGCATGACAATGACCCAAAACACACGGCCAAGGCAACAATGGAGTGGCTCAAGAAGAAGCACATTAAGGTCCTGGAGTGGCCTAGCCATTCTCCAGACCTTAATCCAATAGAAAATATGTGGAGGGAGCTGAAGGTTCGAGTTGCCAAACGTCAGCCTCGAAACCTTAATGACTTGGAGAAGATCTGCAAAGAGGAGTGGGACAAAATCCCTCCTGAGATGTGTGCAAACCTGGTGGCCAACTACAAGAAACGTCTGACCTCTGTGATTGTCAACAAGGGTTTTGCCACCAAGTACTAAGTCATGTTTTGCAGAGGAGTCAAATACTTATTTCCCTAATTAAAATGCAAATCAATTTATAACTTTTTTGACATGCGTTTTTCTGGATTTTGTTGTTGTTATTCTGTCTCTCACTGTTCAAATAAACATACCATTAAAATTATAGACTGATAATTTCTTTGTCAGTGGGCAAACGTACAAAATCAGCAGGGGATCAAATACTTTTTTCCCTCACTGTACGTCGTTGGCTGCTGGGGACCTAAAATCTGAAAGGGCATCACACCGAGAAGGTGTATCTTTGCAGCGTCATTTTGAAGGGTAGTTACAGGTTACCTGACTGTTATTATGTTATGACGCTTATGAAAGCTGTTTTTAAAAAAATGAGAGCGCAGTGTGGTAAAATGTGATTGCTGATATATTTTTGGCACGCGGCCAGCCAATTAGACCAAGGTCACTTATACCACAAGTCTGCTAGAGTGAGGTTGGACCATTAAACAAGCAAAAAAAGAAAGCTGGGACAAAGTTATGCCTGCAGTATTCGGCAGCCTCGCTTGTTTGTTTTATTGGCAATGGAGGGCATGGTGACTTTTTTTATGAGGGTCAAACAAAGGTATTTTTTTCTCGAGTCGGTACTTTTTTGGTCTCAATGATACGTGAAGATTTGCCCGCCTGTACAATTAGCGACAGTGCGAGAATATCGCGCATCAACTCGGCGCACGCTTTGATCTGCACAGCGCAATAGTTTTACGTCGAATGTTGTAATCCTCTCCAACGAAATAATATCCTGCCTGTGATGGAAATGGGGTTAAATCTCAAAATGATAGGATTACAAACTAGATTCGAAGCTTTCGTGACTGCAGGAATTACTCTTTGGTTCTTTCGGTAAAGTCACGTAGAATGAAAATAAATAAAATACTAATAGAATAGGACGTTTAGATTGCAACACAAGCAACCATCACACACAGAGAGAGACACAGCATAGACAAACAGAGACAACGCCTCTGTGTCGAGGCCAGTGGCGGCTCCTGCAAAATCTCTCAGGGGGGGCAAATGTCTGGATGATTGATAAGGATAAGGTCCACCCATGCAATGAATAAATTAACAGCTTAAGCATGTAAAGGCAACTTCACTTCTTTAATATTAATGAAAAATAAAGTGACTCTTACAATACATCTCGTTTGTTTATATACTCACTATTAAAACAAACCACTCAAGTTTATTTTATTAAAGATTCCACTAGGTAGCGATAAATTATATTGTTGGATGAAACGTGCTTACGTATGATGACCTTAGCACGTATGATGACATAAGCACGTATGATGACGTAAGCACGTTAGGGCGAGCCCTTCCGGAATCCATAGAAAATGCATTGGAGCGCCCCCGTTCGAAAAAAAACATCTTTGAATGTAAGTCTATGGGACCACTCGGGGCGATTCTCAGCCGGAGTGAAATCGCCCCAAAAGAGGCGGTACTCCACAGAACGTGACATGACGCTGATTGGACTATATCCAGAGGCTGCAGTGACGGCTAGCGTGACTCTGTGGTTGAATGACATTGGTGGTGCGTCGACCAATCGCCCTAATGAAGAAACCGCCCCTGGTCGAGGCCTTAAATAGAGAGAGAGGGGAGGAGGCAGAGAGAGGGGGGGGGGATTGGGATAGAGAATAATGAGAGAGTTGTGTGTCTCTGTGTGTGTGTCTCTATCTGCTTGTGTGTATATCTATGTGTCTCCGTGTCTGTGTTTTGTCTCTCAAATTTAGCAATCTTTGGAAGAACGTAATCAACCAGGTAGAGTGTTGACTGTTGTGTTAGCCGACTCTGTGTTGTATTGCATTATATTTCTAAGTTTACTAGGTTTTCTCATTCATTCTTACCCGATGATGGTTGCTTGTGTTGCAATCGAAACGTCGTTTTCTGTTATTATTTAATTTATTTTAATTCTACGTGACTTTATCGAAAGAACCAAAGAGTGATAGGATTACACTTTTTTTATCAGGGGGGAAAGCATTTAAGCCATTGATAGCTCAATTGCCGAGGCAAGGTGGTCTGATTTGTTGCCTCAAAATGGCTCACGGAATGTGGTGGGATGGGCAGTTCCAATTCAAACACATTCCTGCGGAGGGAGCTGGTAGGAACGTTGGGTTGCTCGGTCAATGGCCAGGGTCAACGGCAACGTGGTGTATTCCGCAAATATGGCCGACTGTGAGGGCGGGCACAAGCCGGCGTGAGTAGGTTAAACGTTGAGTTTTATAAGGGCACCACGGGGTGACCAGTCCCTCCCTCCCCACCCAGCCCAACCCCTCCCACCCCCCACCCAGCCCCACCCAGCCCCTCCCCACCCTCCCCTCTCCACCCACCCCCACCCCTCCCATTTTTGCATTTACGACAGACGGACGGACACAATAATCCTCTGTGGGCTGGTGTAACCAGGAGGTTCCTACCAGTAAAATGTTACATCTGCTTTGTTGTTATATTTCTGACGGCCTACTTGCCCTTTAAAACGAGCTGTGTATCTCAATGAACTTTACTCGGGAAGAAAACTTCTGAATAAACTTAATTCTCTTGATAAATAGCAGTTTCTTTTGAAGCGTGAATCATTAATTACGGCATAAAAAAATAATTACTCAAGCGGGTCACTCTCGAAAATTAGACGGAACGTGGTCTCTTGAGCCCTCGTCTGGTTAAACAAATAAACGTGAACTTGATTATATTACATTGACTTCTAATCATTCCGTCGGGGGGGAAGTGTAAATTAACCTCAAATGAGCTGGGTAGGTGCCCATCTCAGTTGGGGGCCATGAGCCAGTGGTAAATATCCCACATTCCTTTTGGTAAGGTCGGTAAATAATTGATATTAAATGTGTCAAGGCCAACGATTGCTAAATCAGTGTGGTGGCATGCATTTCTGTTGTGGCACTCGGAATAACCTAAGTTATAATTGTTCTGTATTTATAACAGCCATTCTTGGAAATTGCACGTTGTTTTACACAGTTGTATGTATTTTATTGACCCCAAAATAATGAGCTTAGTCAACTCCTGATCAATATTTGTGAGCCGCAGGCTCCATCCACATTGCTACGTGGCTGCATATAGTTTATCCAGCATCTAAATGTGTTCTTATATCAACAGAATGCAGAGTCTAAGGAACAGTGTTTCAGGGCTAGCAGCCTATGTACTGAGAAATAATGAATACCTCTGTCCCATTGTGCCACAGGGCAATTCTGCACTTTGTCCAGCACATTGATGATGGCAATTATGGTAATAATTGTTGTCATTGTTAGTTTATTAAAGTTCTGTATAAATTCACCCTTAGACGTAATATATAATTCCGTGCCAAGAGTAAAAACTTCACCCAGGGCAGACTATTATGGTTTTTTTTACGATGTAAAAGTTCGTAACATAATATATTTTGATCTGTTTACCCTTAATCTCTGCATCATTTGCATTTGCTCCAGATGGTAATTGCCAGCGATACTTAAATTCCCAATGGGTTAATAAAAAATAGCCAAGTGCAAAAAATGTGGCCCCTCGTTCAAAAAAGTGTCCGTGGGTGCTCATTCCCACTGGCGGTTTGAGCCACTAATGAAAATCCCCTCTTCCTTTTCGTGGTGAGCGTGAACAAATAATCGCCACTCTCTTGGGTGAAATACAAAACTACTTTTGTCCCTATAATTTGATGGACGATGGACCTCTCCTCATACCTACCCCTGACGACAATCTACAACGCCACTCAATTCACCGACCCTCCTAAGAAATGCCACGCCAAGGAACAACCATCATGATGGTGTGATCATAACTACTCCAACACCCTATACCTAGGAAAAGAAAAGCATTGTTTTAGATTAATCTAATTATTATTATGGCATGTTTTTTTAGTTCTATAGGAGGAGCATAATATATGTATGTATATAAGGAACTTTGGTTTGAGAAAGGCACCTTTGAAGAAATAAGGGGTGCCGCAGTTGTGAGATGTTAACGACCTCGCTTGGTATACAGGTCGTGGGTTTGATACCGACCTTGACGCCTGTTGTATATTTGGAGTTTGCATGTGTCTCTCCCCGTGGTCGCATGGATTTTTCTTCTGGTCCTCCGGTTTTTCCCTCCCCATATAACATAAAAATGCGTTTTGAGTATTTGGCTGCTATAAATTTCCGCGTGATAGGCTACTTCGTTGAGCTATCGTTTGTGGCCAGGTCGCTGATGAAAAAGAGCTACATAGCTCAGTGGGCGTTACGTGGTTAAAATTAACATAGTTTATAGTTTCACAGGTTTCCATTGATCGATCATCTGAGTGGCGGAAAAAGTGGCTAACTGGCCCATGTTCCCGCGTTGCTCTTCCACCGCTGCCTGTAGCCAAGCGAGGTGCTGGTCGGCACGGCTGAGACGGCGCGATTGGGCTTCTTCCTCGAGACGATCCCACGCCGCGGTCGGCCGCTGCTGCTGGTGGGGCCGCCCGGCACGGGCAAGACGTGGGGCACGCGGGCCTTCCTGCGAGCCCTCCCCAGCGAGAGCCACGTGGCCTGCGAGCTGGCGTTCTCGGCGCACACGAGCGCCGTGCACACCCAGGACAGCATCCTCGCTAAGCTGGAGAGGTGTGCACGCACGCGCCGCCGCCACCACCACAGCCGCCGGCGGAGTTCGCCGGCAAACGCCTGTTTGTCTACACGATAAGGAATTCGGTCAGCGACGGCACTTAACTTAAGTACCGTCCCTGACTGACAGGCGGAGAATTGAAGCAATGGAGTAATTTTCATTGCACAGAGTCCAATAAAGGATGATTCTGTGTATTATACTACCGCATAGGTTTTCATGCCTGTGATGTTTAGCTCTCGTGGACACGTTACTGGGTTGTACCACGTGTTTCGGCACGATGTCCGACGTTTGTACTCAACTAGTTGGGACCTTCTTCAGTCACGAAGTTAAAGAAGCACGTGGCAAGCAACGTCAGACATCATGTTGAACAACACGCGGTACACCATGGGAGGGCGGCAATGTTATTGATAGTGCGCTATGTATTAACCACAAAAAACTGACCATATTTCATCTCCTCCGCTAATCTTATTGGGTTCTAGCAAAATCTAAACTCTTTCCCTCCCACTATTTTTTTTAGATGACAATTAGAAGTAGATTTCTAAAATGTTAAATCCAGGCAAACATAGCATATCAAATAATTTAGCAAAAAAATATAACCTTGTTCATAGCACTGTTTGGCACTGGGTTTTTAAGATAGTTGTTATCATCAGTTGTATCTGACAATATGATTTGAGCACTCAACTAGGATACAGTTCAATCTTGGTCAGGGTGAAATCAGCCTATCAATTAATAAAACGACAGCCACTTTTGCGGAAGGCGAACGTCCCCGGTCATAGACAAGTGGAATTTCCAACAATGACTCTGCTCTGCCAAATTACAGGGTTGCCGCTCCATTTGCTCTTTTGATGGTACAGATACCCTGAATTTGAGGCCAAAACCTTCAACTCACTCGACACAGGTGGCTGCCCGAATTCAATCCAATATCTCATAATTGCAGGCTCGGTGCTCTGATGCACACATTAGCAACCTGAGCTACCCGGCTGCCAAGATTGATCAATGTATCTATATTGCTGAAGGATATTTATGGCGGCTAAATTAGCCTGACATACCCGCATCTTACTTGAAAAAATAGTCCAGCTCACGCAGGGAATGCTTTAATTTTCGTATGCGGTCAAACCTTTGCCGAACGCAGCGGTTACGTTCCTGGAAAATGTTTCACATTCGTCACTGCCCCTTTGCCGGTTCCAAGACGCAAGAAAGACATCTACGGTCCCCTGCTGGGCAAGAAGATGATCGTGTTTGTGGACGACCTGAACATGCCTGCGAAGGGCCAGTATGGAGCGCAGCCGCCCATTGAGCTGCTGAGACAGTGGATTGACCACGGCTACTGGTTCGACAGGTGAGTACGAGCCCCACGGTGGTGAGATGTTATTTCCCTCGCCTGGTATACGGGTCGTGGGTTTGATACCGACTCTGACGCCTGTTGTATATTTGGAGTTTGCACGTGTCTCTCCCATTGGTCGCGTGGATTTTTCTCCGGGTCTTCCGATCTTTGCCTCCACATTTAGAATCAACGTGTGTTTAGAGTATTAGGCTGATATAAATTTCCACGCGATAAGCCGCTTCGTTGGGCTATCATTTGTGGCCAGGTCGCTTCTGAAGCTCAGTGGACCTTACCTGGTAAAATAAAAAATAGTTTACTTTAGTTGAGAGTGGCAGACAGCTCCGTCCCAGGCCGCCGTCGAACGTGCGAGTTGTTGAAAGCTCCACATGCTGAAATATTTTGTTGTTGTTTTTGTTGCACGCGGAGACTGTCGTCTTGACTTTGACGTCCTTGGAGACCTGCGGTTGTGTTGTCTGCATAGCAATTGCGTACATTTGCGCCGGAGTTCACCGAGTGGCACACCCACGCGCGCATGTCAGGTTTGATATAGTACTGCCACCTCTGCTCTTAAGTGCGCGTTATTCTACGGTAATTGCCATTTATTTTGCTTGTAATGGCTCGGCAATGATGCGTGCGCTCATTCCCTTGCACAAATATATTTTGTCTGCATTCGCTCGAATATATATGTTATCATTTTGAAGAAGCAATTGATTGACAAATTAGTTGATACTTTAAGTACGTCTTCAAGTTAATTCTCGACGTGGATATGGTGTACGTACGTGGGTGTGTTTGTGTTGGGGTAGTGACGTACAATGGTAGGTCTGAGTCTTTGTGTTAAACTATGAGGTTCGAAATCACGGCTGCAGATAACAATGCTGTCACCAGTTTGTACTAGAAATGTAAGCGTTTTAGTTCGTATATTTTCATGAATATGAATGTTGCTGGAGAAAATTCAAGCTTGTCCTTACAGTTTTCAATGTTGTACAGCGGTTGTTGTTTTTTATGACCTGGTAAATGCATTTAATCAAACATGACTGACATGGAAAATGCAAAGTGATGTATTAATGCAACAGGATGCCTCACTTATCAGACTGACTATCCAACATTTAGATATATTTGTGTACACACTCGTGCAGTGTAAACTGAATTGTGTTTTGATTTCCCTGGCAGCAAGACTGTGTTCTGTTCTTGTTTTGCGATGTAACTGCCCATCTGCCTGACCATCCATTCCCTTGTCAGTCCAGCTGTCACTCAGCATTGTAATGAAAACAACTTGACAAATGTTAAGGCATTGGCATTCATGCGCACACATGCATAAACACGCGCAGACATTTGTGCTGAAATTCATATATATCCATTCAGACATCCATCATACGTACATGCATGCATACACACAAACACTTTACAGCATATAAAACAGGACCAGTCCAATAGATATCAGAATTATTCTGGACAGTAAATGAATACATACGTCAATAAATGTGTTCCAGTTTCTAAATGTGCATCCATAACACGTCAGAGTACGGAGCCAGTACCATTGAGAACCTGGGTTCGAAACCAGGTAGCCGCCTGTAATTAAACGGGGGTTCTGAAGTGTAGCAAGCCGATGGTCTCAACCAAATTCACCAGTGAATGCTTCAAAAAATCGCATTTAATTTGGTGCCGCACTTTTTGTGGATGATTTCTATCCCTGAGAACGATAGACCCCTAGAGTCTGCACGGCGAGGTGAAGTTACTTTGTCTCTTTGCGTGTACAACTCTGCTCTCGTGTCAAATGTTGCCAACGCATTCCTCAGTATGCTCCTGGTGGATGTAACGGTGCAATACATTGTCACACATTACTCGCTGACTAACCCACAACCAAAACGAACAATAAGACAAACACGCGGAAGAGCATTGGCCTTCCACGGACCTTCTTTTGCACCATACGTAGTCAACCGTGCTAATTGGAGTTGCGGGGAGGACAACAAACTACGGTAAACGCAAAAAGCAGTTAGAAAGAATTAATTTTTCTGTCTTGATGATTTTAAAGTGCATAGCTCCAGTGGCTTCCTAATATCGGAAGAAAAAGTGTTCTAAATGGCTGCAGAAGCGCATCTGAAAGCACGCGATGCGGTGACCGTCTTTGTTTGGCGGTTAGCCCCCAAAAAAATGGTGCATTGCATTGTCACACAATACTCGCTGAATAAGCCACTCCCAAATGAACGAAACAAAAAAACACGTGGAAGATAAATGTTTGCGCCTGCAAGTGGCCTGTCCGTGCATCTCAAAAAATTGGCGAGTGTCGCTTTGTCACATTTCAACAGCGCTTTCCTTCCCCCCCCCCCAACCACCCGCTGCTCCATCGCGCGGCAGGCAAACAGGTGGAGAGGTGCATCTGCAGGACACGGCGGTGGTAGCTGCCATGGCCCCCGCGGGTGGCGGCCGCCACGAGGTCACGCCGCGCCTGCTCCGCCACTTCAACGTGCTCGCCATCGACGCGTTCTCCGAGGACACCGTGAAGGGCATCTTTCAGCCGATCGCCGACTGGCATTTCAGCCAGGGCTTCGAGACGTCGCTCAAGCGTTTTGCTCGCGTACGCGTTCACCCCCCTACCCCCCCCACGCCACCCACGCCACCTACACTGCCTCTCGCGCTGTTGTCAAATGAACATCGTGATAACGTTTTGAGAGTCAAGAATCTTGATATTCGACTGGAGGTATCCGATGAGCTATGAAGTTCTTGCTCACAGACGTCTAGTATGGGTGGGTCAGCAAGTTACAACGGCAGCAAACAATACACAAAAACGATAGAAGTATGAAAAAGAGAAGCATGGTAAGCAAGTCACTAAATATAATTAATAAAGACATGTCTTATATAAATATTATTTGGGTCTTTCGGTAAAGCCACATAGATAGAAAAATAATAAAATTATCACGACGATTTGATCGCAACACAAGCAATCGTCATCAGGTGAAAAAAAATATATAGCGAGAGAGCTGCTGAGGCAGGAGAAAATACAGCGGGAGAGCTTATGAAACACGAAGTTATATCGGCTTGAGATGGGCTCAGCCCAAGGGTAAGTGGCCGGGGCTAGAGGTGACATTTGCATGCCAATGTAAGATCGGTGATGACCTTCCACGACGACGACGCAGCTGTTGAGGTGGCCATTGTATTGTGAGAGATTAGCATGTCAGTGTAAACGAAGCAACGCAACGGTGGCTGTGCTAGTGAGACATCCAGCTCGTTAAAAATACGAGGGACAACATCACATTGAGGAAAAGGAGCAACGGTGGCTGTGTTAGTGAGACATTTAACGTGTATGTAAGAGGGACGGAAATAACTGCTAGCATCGGCAGGTAGCATGGAAACATCTCAGCCAGTTATGACTTAAATTGGTTAATAACGTCTTCTTGGTTCTTTCGGTAAAGTCACGTAGAATGGAAGTAATAAAATAATAAAAATAAAACATAATTAAATAATTATCACGACGTTTCGGCCACAACGCAAGCAGAAGATGAATCCCTGCACTCACGAAAGTTTTAAATCGAAATTTGGTTAATAACGTCCTTCCAATTATTCCTCAGTTTGTACCCATCTTCTCGGTTAAAATTGTGTCTGTGTTTATATATCTGAATGGCTTCATGAACGAATCTTTGTTGATAGCCAGTGGGCTTGCAGAGTACCTTCGTCTTGGAAAAATCTATTTCGTGTGTGCCCATAGCGTTGAAACAATGATCAGCCACCACTTAGGTATTGGTCCTACCGTGTTTTCACGAACACTGTCCGAGACATGTCGCTTAGTTTCCCCAATGTAACTACTGCCGCAGACACAGCTTAGTTTGTAGACGCCGGGGTATTGCATGTCAGGGATCACATCCTTCACAGATGGGATCAGATCACGAATTTTACGTACAGTGTCGAACCTGGATCTTGTGTTTGCTCATGATATTGGAAAAAAAATTGGTAACACCTGCTATGTATGGCAAGGTGATAGCTTTATTGGGTCCCCAGATGGTTCTTTCCCAACGGTTGGAGTGATGTCTTTACGGATTGTGTAATCCGAATATCCATTCATCTTGAGGGCTTAGTGTACGTGCCCCAGTTCACTGGCTAGGTGGTGATGGTCGGAAATACATCGAGCTCTATGGTGTAGAGTTTTGATGAACAAATTCTTCTGTGGTGGATGGTGGTGGGAGTCAGGTTTTAGGTAGGCATCTGTATGGGTGGCTTATATAAGTCAAATTCATCAAGATTGGGCAAGGCATCAAAAACTATGACAATTACTTGGCTGGAAATCGAACTTGGGACACTGTGTTCATAGCCCTAACCAATATGCCACTGCTCCCCATACATTTAATGCATGGACGTTTTTCAGTTAAATGCCATATGTTCCAGTGTCAAAAATCAAGGATTACCCCAAAGATTACCCTTGAGACTCACTTGGCTTTGAACATTTTTGCACGTGTCTCTCAACCGTGCAACGATTCTCACGTATTTTATTGCTTACCTGAAAATAATTATCTTGGCCCTATTTATTGCAGCGCCTCGCCCGGTAGCGAATGCCGATGGTTCAGGTCTCGTGTAAGGGTCAGCTAAAAAAATTTTGCCTTTACTGACAGACAGCTTTTCTATGAGAAGCAAGTGGGAAACTAATAACAAATGTCCAAGTTGGTTATTATATTTATTTTACTTTGAGCGGGGAAAGGGGGGGGGGTGTTCACTCAGTGGTGGACGTTAGCTGATTGTGGCTAAGCAAACAAATGTAGTAACCTCCACCTTCATTTTGTATTTATCTATGTTAAACTTCTTTCGCACCGTACGGAGCCAACCGTTCTAATCGGAGGTACCATACGTAACCATCCCAAAGTAAAAAAACTATTTAAAACTTTAAGGAGACTTGAAACTACTTTAAAGTATGAGTAAAAGTATATTCGCCTTTGCCTGTGTAATAGTTACATGGTAGTGTCAGTGAGTCGGAGACGAGGTTTTTAGAGGCACCTTCTTTATTGACCTCACACGATCTCGCCTGTACTCACTCTACAGTCGCTAGCCTATACACAACACTAGCCGTTTAACATTGATGACGCTGACCGAGACAGCTAACAGACTATCTAGCAGCGCAATATATAGCGGAGATGGCAGCCACGATGGCGACGAGACGACGGCAACGATGAGATGATCCAATCCCAAAACCGGCAGCCTCGAGCTCCCGCTCTCGGCCCCTTTTATGCTCCCAGTACAGCCAGGCTCCGCCCTGGCCGCGCCTCCCTTCTCGAACCCACTAGCAGGTTCCAGGGGCTACCAGATGGGGCCCTCCATGACCCTTGCCCCATTTACTCCGCCCTGCCGACACAGCCGTGTATATGCTCACCGGCGTGTGTCCTGTTTGTCCACCGCAGTTGCCGCTGCTGGTCACCAGCCGGCGCTATTACACTACACGTGTTTCTGTGCCTCTGTTTTTTTTGGTTTCCCACTCGGTTTCTTGGCCCCCTTTCAGTTTATTGGGGGTTTTCCCCCGAAGGATTTTCAGCCGTGGTCTCACCGATTTGAACCCTTCGGGGTTGATGTGTATAAAATAGCCTTGTCTTCAAACTGGTGTCGTCAGATCTATGAGATGTAATTTAACTTTTTAACGCATCTGGACACAGCACGGATATAGCGTGCTTGGCTACGTATGGTGCAATAGAAGCACAGCATAAATACATACATACATATGAAGTTGCTGTACTCATGAAGGGTGTATATAACAATAGTAAGTTGTTTTTACGTAGCTTGGCTGTGAAGCTGCAGAACAGGACTTTGTGTTTCAAAATAACAATTTTAGCTGGCTTGACGACATAAGAGATTGGTGCAAGAGAGATGTGGCACTATTTGAGCATGTTGGCACAAGACAGAGGAAAGTGGAAACATGTTTAAATGTCCAGTGGACACCCTACGGACTGTCTGCCCATGGATCGTGATGATGATGCATTTTAAGTGTAAATTATTTAAATTATTTATCTTTTTAAAACGTAACATTGTGTCACTCTTTTGTCTGTTTGTCGTGACTGTATTTGTTCTTCTTTTCGACGATTCTTCATTTATTTGTTAAGCCATGTGAGAACTCTAACTCCGCTTATCTTATGTGAAGTTAGTTTACTTGATAAGGGATCTCTTTACTCCAAGTACTCGAGCTCATATGTAATCACTGTGATCGCTAACCTCCTCCGTGTTCATGTGGCCACAATCTAGAATCTTGATATAATATTTGACCATGAGATCACTTCCCACCGCTTCCCATCTCGTGCTTTTCAAACATTCTTTTGTAATATCTCTTGCTCCTTCAAAACTTTTACTTTGTTGCATAATAAAAACATTTTTGAGCCTTTATTGCGTTTCATTTTGACGCTGCCAACTTTATTCTCGTCTCTGTAAATGTCAAATCTGAAAACTGCATGTGATAGGGAAGACTTGTTATGGGCACTCTCACTGGAACGTACTAAAGATATCACACTACAACTGTTATTCTCCGCGCCGACTTTCCGTTCTGTGTACCCATCAACTGCAAAATCTTGTCATCTTTAAAATATTTCACGCTCGTAATCCCTCCTGCTTTCTTACGTGGCCTCATTTGCGCGAACGTCTCCCTCCTCTTTGCTTTCGCTTCGTAAATCACTGCCTTCATGCTTCAGCTCCGATTCATCTTCACAGGAATAATGGTCACTCATTGTTCCTTTTACCGCTCCTCGAGAACACACTTCTTATCGCTGTCATTATATCTGGTATCTGTGTCGAAAATCAAGAGTAGCACTTTCCTCCCTTCGTGATGGATTTTCATTAAATTTCCTTTATCTTCAGTTTTTTTCTACTGACTGCGAATATTTTCTATTCCTAGCATCATTATAATTTTTTTTAACTGTTTTATATTTGTTCATTTGTGTATATATACGAGTGCAGAATGTTTTATTTCTTTATTTGTTGTCTTTAGTTGTCTTTGTATGTGCGATTGTTGTCTTAGCAAACCACTGTGAGCAGAGAATAAAGGAACACCAAACTAAACTAAACTATTTTAATTTTACCAGGTAAGGCCCACTGAGCTATGTAGCTCTTTTTTAGAAGCGACCTGGCCACAAATGATATCTCAACAAAGTGGCTAGTCGCGTGGAAATGTATAGCAGCCAAATATTCTAAACCCACGATTCTAAATGTGGAAGGAAAAACCGGAGGACCCAGAAAAAAAACCGGCAGGGCCGCGGGGAGAACATGCAAACTCCAAATATAGAGGCGTCAAGCCAGGGTCGGGATCGAGTCCACAAACTCTTGTATCCCAGTCAAGTTACAATTGGTTAACTTGTCACCACCGTGGCGCCCCGTATATCGTCAGCTGGGAAGGGATCAGTGGCGTGATTCCAGAAGCCACTGAATGGCCCTTTCGGTGCTCTGCGCTGATTTGGCATTGTTGGACTGAAATAGATTTTTAACGGTGTTGCAACTCCCGTGATGCGTTTGGCCGGTAATTACTGATGAGATAAAACATAATTCATTCAAATAAAGGACGTCTTTTGTTTACACCTGGAATAGCACAATGCACTACATTTCTGAGTATATCTTTTTTCATTTAACACAACTAAAATGGCATCCAAGCTAGAACTTGTTTTACAACTAGAGTATACCTGACAATGAAATCAGAAATTGAATAAATATAAAAAAAGAAAACATTGACATAAAACACTTGGAGAGCAGCAGATTAAAACACGAAACACACACACACCGTACAACACTAATGGCAGAACATTAAAAATACATGAACAGCAAGAACATATTTTAATATGCACGTATATCAATTCTTGTGTTTAAACTAACAGTAATTAGGAATATTGATGTGGCTTTCACTTGATATTCCTTTATAGGGTGTATCGTACTTTTTTGCAACAAAAAAAAACAGCTTGCAAATTTGAAAAAAAGGTAATCGACCTTATTTGTTGCATAGTTTATTTTTCTGCACAAGTGTTGTGAGATGCAGGTGCTTTTGCGATTGCTTGGTTACGCCACTGGTGGCAGAAGGGTCTCCACTCGTGCGCGTGGAAGCTCTCGGGAGCCCTTCTAGTGGCTTGGATATGTTAACTACCTCGCCTGCATTTTTGGAGTTAGTATGTTCTCCCCCGTGAGCGTGTAGATTTGTCTCCGGCTCCTCCGGTGCTTCCCTCCACATTTAGAAACACGCGTTTAGAGTATTTGACTGCTATAAATTTGCACGTGATAAGTCGCTTCGTTAAGCTCTATCATTTGTGGTCAGGTCGCTTCTGAAAAAGAGCTGCAGTATATAACTCAGTGAGCCTTACCTGGTGAAGTAAAAAGTTTAGTTCTGAATTTTAGCCTACTCTTCTGAACTAGCTAGCTTTTGTGGAAGCGATCAGAGGACCCATACTTAACCGCGCACGCCCTGCCAATTAACCAACTGTGATGTACCAATATATACTGATGAGTTGGAAAGAGACGGGAAGATTGGAGAAACTTGACCATTGTTTTATCTGCCACACCGGGAGATTGAACCACCAACCTTAGAATTCCAAGTCCAGTGTGATATTCTAGATTTGAAGTTTTCGTGACTGCAAGGATCCATACTCTTTGGTTTTTTCGGTAAAGTCACTTAGGTGAAAACAAAATAAAATAATAAAATTGTAATATATAAATAAAGCAACTAAATTAAATCACGACGTTTCGGAAGCAACACAAGCATCCGTGATCAGGTGTGACCGCTCCAGCATACGCTACAGTAATTTCCAGTGTGATAACTGTTTCATCACGGCAGTATCCTTCAAATCGATGTTTATCACAACTGTTTCGGCCCGCGGAGCCACTCGGCCGATGCAAACATTTCCACAGACCACCCGGCCAGCCCCCACCCCTGGTCACAAAACGCATTCACTTCTCTCTAAATATCAGCAGTACAAAATGATTAATATTACCGGCACTTAATTTTTTTTTACACAGCTATAAGGGTTTTTTTAGGGGGGGGGGGGCGTTTAGATCCTAGGGTCAGGGTAGTTTAATCAGAGTAGTTCACCTATTTTAAAAAAAATATATAAGTTAAATATTAATTAATATCCGAAACATAAGGTATAATAAACATTGTCATTAATTACAGATCAATTTGCATCACAGCCACCGGACACCACCTGGAAGACCATTGCGGACCACTGATGGTCCAGGGACCGCACTTTGAGAACCACTACTTGAAATGATGCATGCATACAAATGGTACTACATTGCATCGCTGAGTGTATCGTCTCCGTGATGCTGAGACTTGTTTTGCAGGTGTTGGTCTGGGCTACCACTGAAGTGTACACAGCAGCTGTGCAAAGCTTCCTGCCTACGCCGTCCAAGTCTCACTACATATTCAGCCTCAGAGACTTTGCCAGAGTGGTACAGGTGAGAGCAGGGAGTCCTTCAGCCACGATCTATCGACTTCTGGACAAAGAACCCCCGCCCCACCACTGCATCAACATCTCTCAAATCTTAAATACCACAATCCAACTGCGCATTAGCTAATCTCATTACTCCATCTCACACAGTGGTCATTCTCTTGGGTGTACTCCATCCTTGAGTTGTTATTCAGTCACCAGTCTCCTCCAACGGGCATCATCCTTAACCCTTTCCCGTTCTGAGACGTCTGGGTCCGGGTCCCGTTCGTCATGAATCTCGGAATGCGCAAGCGATTAGCATACATTTTATTTAGATAGGCATAGTACCATTGTTTTTAAATACATTGTACTCACCGCAGATAACCGCAGTGACACGGCCGCTGAACTCTTATTATAGCTGGCACCAAACTGTGCCACATGGCCTTGTGGGAGCCTTGGTAGTTTTTTTTCTTCCAATTTCGTTCCGATGACGTACACGGACGTCATCGAAATGGAATCGGAAGAAAAAACTGTACATCATCGCAATGGGCAAAGGATAATCATGATGTGTCCTTCTCGAGCCCACTTAGGACCACTCTAATTTTCACTTGTTTCCAAATCCATGTGTTCCTCTCTCGAGTCTCTCGTCTCCATTCCAAGCCGGCTTCATTCGCACCGCACGTAGCCAACCGTGCATCAGTCTGCTCCTTTTCATTATAGAATTTAGTTAACCAAATGTACTCCATCCTGCTATCATAATTTCGATACAATTTTTTTGGAAATTAAAATGTTATATATGTATTTTGTAAGTCATTATTTCACTTTTACATGTCGTCAGTAGCTTCGTGTGTCACTAGAAAAGCAATCCACACGCGCATGTTTAATTCACCAATACAAAGCCCAGTTTAGCCAGAGGAAGTATTTACACTCGGTAGAATAACCATACTTGTAAAATCTGGTCCTGTGCTAATTTTGCATGTGGCATTACATTTGTGAAAGGAGGTAATGTTATATTTATTCCAATCCCGAGTGTGAATCCTTCCCTAAAGCGGTGCTAAAGAGTGTTTCATGTATAAAGACTACAGAAGAATGTAGTGCGGTGTAAATGCAAGAATTAAAAACACCAAAGGTGTTCATTGAATATTCGATGCTCAGAAGTAGAATGCATATTGTATTCAGCATGTAGAATACCACCAAAGGCAGGCAACCTCCAATCATATTTCATGACTTTAGCTTCATTGCTTTATCAGACTACTTTGACGTGGCATGTTACCAAGTCGTTACTTCTAGTGTGTTGTTCTTTTCTCCAATAGAATCCTGATTGTGCTTGTTGTGTTTTATGTAATGCAATAAATCCATTCGGGACTGGCAGAGCATTAGAACCCCCCACCCCACCCCCCCCATATTAGCAGATGGCTCACTGAAGTAGACATTGCAGAGCTGCCTCTGAGATTTCATCAAGTGACCTCTAATCCACGTACTAAGGGGAGACAACACTTTCCCACCCACCGGCTGCAGAGTCGTGACAGTCAAACCGAGGTTTTACATTCTTAGCGTTTGAATTACATCGTATCTAGTGCACATCCGAAGTTAATATGACGTGTCTTTTTGTACAGTCTGGTGACCGGACTGTTATCATCAATTGGCTATACAGTCAGCTGGCACCACTGACCCGATTGTACTGGACGTCTGTAAAATATTCATAATAAAGGTTTTGGGTTAGATCGCGTTATTTACAAATGTGTCGCAAAAGACTAATAGTACACTACTTTAGCCCACCGTTGTAGTGAACTATTTGTCTTTTGTCAACGTGACACATTTTTTACTGATTGGCCGTGTCGGGTGGTGGAGGGTTGCGACACATTTATAAATAACGCGATCTAACCCAGAAACCTTTATTATGAATAATATTGGTCGCGAAAGCCTACACCGATCTGTAAAATCCTTGACATCTGTGAAAAAGAGCTTCATAGCTCATCGGATTCCTCCAGTATAAATATTCCAATTTGCTTTGATCTCTTGAGCTATCTGGCCACCTCTCCATTTTCATGGATTCTTTCCCTTTTGGAGTAAAAAGTAAACAATTCACTTGGGAAGTTGGTCACGCCAGTAACTCGGGTTAAAACGAGGACAGGAACAGCCAATGCATACAGATCACGTTACAGAGCCGACAATCCTATGGTCGTGCCGGTCTTTCTGAAAAAAAAAATTCACCCTCACACACAATGCAGATTTTCAGATTGCTCGAAGGCTTCTCCATGCTGTGTCAGTCCTGAAGGCTGTTTGACCAAACTTCACCGTGGCGATCATTGGGGGATGCTGAAAGATCCGAACCCAGAACCAGTCTTTGCCCCTGATGTTCGCCGTGGCTGGGAATCAAACGTGCGGTTGCCCGGTTCAGAACACAGTGCAACGAACCATTGCACTGCTGCTTTTACCCAGAGTACATATGATTATAATATAAGAGTATTTGGTGAATGTAATCATAATGGCAACCGAGATATCAGATTACACAAAAAAATGTTCTCAACATACTAAATATGGAATTATGTTTAATTGCTATGGTTCTAAAGCGTTTCTTAGATGGTTACTTTCAAGAATAATGCTCCAAACAGTGGATTTACTCAACTTGAGAAAAGGCCAGCTCACTTGTAACACGTTTGCCAAACACATTAGCTTCATGTCGACCTGTGTACGAGGTAAGAACGGCCTCAGCTTTGTCGACTCTTGGGAAAAAACATTGGCTCGTGACTGGTTATTGATTGTGTGTGTGTGTGTTGCTGCAGGGCCTGATGCTGGTGAAAGCCTCTTGCGTTCCTCTGGGTGACGACGGTGCCAGGAAATTGATGCGGTTGTGGGTCCACGAGGTGTGCCGCGTCTTCTCTGACCGTCTGGTTGACTCCTCTGACCAGCAGCTCTTCTTTTCCATCATTAAGGTGCCACCTTCTCGTCCTGGCTTCCTTCGAGTCCCCTTCTTACAACTCACCTAATTTCAACCTTGTATAATCCTGATATTATCACGAGCGTACAATGATATCACTTACAGATGAGTTGTACGATGTGTTTGTTGATAAAACATTAAGGTAGCACTTTAACACGATCGGTCTGTTGTGGATCTTTCTGTGAACACTTTGATATGGCAACTCAGAGCTTGCTTAAGGGGTCGTATAGAGTATGTTAAAGACAGTGGCCCATTGCCTTTGTAAACCACCTTTGCCTTTGTAAACCACGATGGAAATCGCCTCTGGCCTGAGTGTTGCAGTCATTAGCCACGTGACTAAAATACGTTATCGTATCATTTAAACTGAGTTAGAAACATGGTGTTTTTTATGTATATATATAATTCATAAGACCACTCATAATTCATACAAGTCATCAGTACTTGGACAAATAAGCCAATGAATCCAGTGGGTGATCTTAGCACTGCAACCAGTGATATGTAAAATCACGTATAATGCGTAAGATGTATTCACCATTCATTACACAGTCGATCAGTCCCACAAATGCCATAGGTTCTAACTCCATAAAATTATGCCATCATCCGTCTGCTCTTTATAAAATGAATACCGCTTGGTGGAAAGTCAACGATGGTTGTCCTATTGTCGTGCAGTGAAGATGCACGCGAAGACAGAACTTCATGTAGGGGCTCACGCCATTTTATTAACACCAGGGATAGGTGTCCCTACACTTGGTTCTTCCCTGGGACCTCAGGCTCGATCTGTCCCTCGCCTCAGCTATCTCTTGGGCTCTCTCACTCGAGGGGGTTCAGCCAACTCCGTCCGGTCCCTCAGCATCCCCTGGCTCCCACGACGACCCCGCTCACGTGACAGGGTCCCCCTTAAGTACCCCCCTTACAATCCCCGTGACATGACGTCATCCCGCTTCACGGCGCTCATGACGTCATGTCATCCATTACTCCTCTACACTATGAAGAGAATGGACCTGCCATGGAAATTGGGAATTTCCACCCCTGACTTGAGGCCACCAATCAAGACGAGTACCACTTAACATTTGGTGGAGCCAACAACTTAAATTCTTCACTAATCTCTAATTACAGTCTTCAATTCACGTTCAATCATACACTTCCTTGTACTCTCTGTGCTTTTCTCAACAATCTAAGTCCAGCCTTCCCCTTCATACTCCTTCAACACATATCCTACTTCTCATTCTTCTCAACTTATCTTTGGGGTTTCCTGGTGGCGAGATGTTGTCTCCCTCGCCTGGTATGCAGGAGGTCGTGGGTTCCATCCCGATCCTGACGCCTGTTTATTTGGAGTTTTCATGTTCTCACCGTGGTCGCATGGATTTTTCTCCAGGTCCTCTGGTTTTTCCCTCCACGTTTAAGAAGGATGCGTTTAGAATATTTGGCTGCTATAAATGTCTACGTGATAAGCCACTTTGTTGAGCGATAAATAAGCCAATTAATCTTTTTTGAAAGAGCTATAAAGCTCAGTGGGCCTTAGCTGATAAAATAAAATAGTTTAGTTTTGAGTTTATAAATCTTTGTGTCTCTGACCGTCTTAACTCCCCATCTCCCCAATCCCGCTCATCATTTTAACCCCTGAGGGATATTTTGCAGTGCGGAGTATCCATCTGTTAATGGCTACGATGATTGCGTATTGAGTGTATGAATTAAGAATGCAGTGGATCCAACTTCATATTGTGCTGCTGGGATTTCGTAAATGTATAACACTGCTAATGTACCATGTCAGGGCTTTGGAGACAGTGCTTTTTAGTTTCGAGCTGTGATGCAAGGAAGCTAAAAATTAATGCTGTCTCCTTGGTCCGCAAGGATTTTCGTGTTTAGCCAATTGATCGTCTCAACCCATTTGCAAAGGCTTGCACAAGAATAGTCACCACATTCAAAGCTATGTCGGAGTTTGACTTTATTTTATCGGAAGTATAACACGCAACAAAATCTGATGACGGTGATGAAGAAGTAATTCTCTTCAGAAGTACATTGCTGAGTCAGTAGCATAACAGTGGAATGTGTTATTCATGCTCTGGAAGTTTCTATAAAATGTGAAGGAAGCAAATGGGGCTCTGGGGGGGGGGGGCAGGGGAAAGCAATAACTGACACTGAAATCCTGTCGAGTGTTTACTTTTTTTGCGAGCATTGTGATACAAAGGTGAACTTATATTTACGGCCATGTTTGAGTACATAGCAATGTTGTAATGTCGAAATATTATTACTACTGAAATATACTTTTTTAAGAGCAATATGTTGTAATAGTGTCGGCACGAGTTTGTGTTTTTTCCAGTTTTATAGCAAGGTATTAAAAGTGTAGCTATCAAGGGGAAGTTTATATTGTTATGTTGCTTTAATGCTTCCTTCATAGTTGTAAACACTTTGACATCTATTTTTTAAACAGAGGCCACTGTAAGCTGAATTTTAGTTGAGTGTTTCCCTCTGCACAGGTATCTGGCCCAGTAGGTGGGTGGGTGGGGGTCTAAAGTTCCTGTGCTTGCCTCGCAACTGCTCAGTAGCATTCAGCTCCGGAACACATTGCCACATGCAAGAATGGGATTACAGGCGGTCCCTGCTTTTTACGACGTTACAATGCGTTTCTGGAAACATCGTTGAAAATCGGACCCGAAGTTTCCCACAGACAGTAGAAACATCACTTGCCGATGTGTTTTTTTACATTTATCAGCAATGTTTTAATAGGGTTTAGGAGTCTATAATCGAGGGTTTTTTGGGGGTTAGATCACGTAAATATATAAATGTGTCGATAAAACCCGCCACCACCCGACACAGCCAACTAGTAAGGGTTGTCACGTAAACAGAACGTGGCCAATTCGTCACTAGGGTTTAAGAGGTAAACATTCACGAGAACACTTTAGAATAACAAAAGCTCCAAGCCAAGTGACATCGGAGAGCCAGACTGACTCTGTTCAAATGTGTTCGGAGTCATGTCAGAAGATGCGTCGTAAATCAAGTTAAACTATTTTTTAAAAATTACCAGGTGAGGCCCACTGAGCTACGTAGCTCTGTTTCAGAAGCGACCTGGCTACAAATGGGAGCTCAACGAAACGGCTTATCACGCGGAAATGTATTTCAGTCAAATACTCGAAATGCATGTTTCTAATATACAGGAATCAGGGTCGGGATTGAACGCACACCCGCCTGTATACCAGGCGAGGTAGTTAACATCTCGCCACCGCGGCGCCAAAAAGTAAATGTGACTGTCGTAAACAGGAGGCCGCTTGTCATGGCAAATTTAAATCGTGGCCATGGTTCAACTCATCCCACTGTTCCTCCAGGGTCAAAGAACCTGAGTTACCACCGTGGGAGAAGTCAGTGGGCATTCCTTTTTGATAAACTGCCCCAAATGTCTGCTCAAGCAAAGAGTTACTTTCACTGACACTGCAAGTAAAACAATTATTGTAAGTACATTCTGATGAGTGTCGAATTGGTGTGGTGGTATTTTGTCGCCCAGTCTGAGCGGGTAGTGGAGTCAGTTGCTATACTCCCTACTGGAGCTGCAGTCAGTCCTTTGGGTTGAGCACGCAATTGAATCATGACTTGAAAATTGGTCTGTTTGCACCCATTTTCTCTTCTTCAAGTGCTATTTAAAAACTAAGTTAAAATAAGTAAAGTGGTTTCAGCACAACCATGAGAAAAGTCTTGGTTGTTTTTGAATGAATTCATCACAATCTCTCGTGTGTTGTCGCCTTGTCGTGGTAGAGAAGCTTGTTGTGCCTCCATGACCCAGAGAGCAAAGCCAGCGGAAGCCTTCGGCTCCCAGCAGGTCCAACCATGCCGGACTGGGCAACGGGTAAAGGGCAGACGAAGTGGACAACCCCTGGTCCTCCAGGTTGGGGTTTGGGCGTGGGGCTAACAACCCCACCCCGGAAAACCCAGAATTGTTATGGAAACTGCAACAAGAACAAAATTAAAAACCAGCTAAAGACCGTGGGCCTGTCTTGGGGTGAAGCAGAGAAAGCTGCTAAAGACCGCCCCGCATGGCGTGGGCTTGTTGTGGACTTATGCTCCACAGGGAGCGGAGAGGAGTAAGTAAATAATCAACCATGATCCTTCCACTGCTGGATGATGAAAGTCTCAACCAAGTTATTGGGGAGATCTTCATCCAGAATTGATTTTAAAAAATGTATAAATGACCCTAGTTTTTCGATCATTTGTCAGAAACGTTGCAGCAGGTGTTAATCAACACTTTGCATGTGGGTGTATTAGAGATGTCGGAGATATACAAGTGTAGCTCAGGGTCAACTGATGCCCATGTCAGGTGACGGAATCAGCACCACTTGACATCCTGAAATTGAATCCCGAGTCCCAGCCACTGGATATTAAACACAGTGCTCAGGTGTTGATGCAAGCTAAACGAGAGGCCTTGGAATCCTTCCTCATGCGACTGCTGGCGGCAAGGGCTTCAACGGAGTGAGCTCTAAAGACGCCTTTCTAGAACGTATTTTTGCCTACTCTTCCATACTGGCCAGATCGTTTGGAAGAGGTGGGACTACCCACACTTTACCCCACCACACTGGAACTATCGACTAACTGTGGTGTGCCCATGAACACTGCTGGGTGGACAGAGACGATGCGATTTAAGAAATGTGCCCTACGTTTGAACTGCTGTGCCGGCAAATTGAAACCAGCGATCTCTGGATCGTAAGCCAAGTGAGCTCGTCATCACACCATGCATCGATTGATCAGTTTGCCAAAAAAAATCTGACAAAACTTAGCTGTCTGTAAGTGTTTATGAAGTCTGTCAGTATACATGATAATTGTCATGCTCTTTCAAAAGTCTGATATATCACTGGTATTAACAGAGGCCTGTTGAAAACTCTCTGAGTGCGATATACATGTTGGTAGATGCTTTATTTTGCCCTAGTCAACACCCCCCCCCCCCATCTTTTAGAGGTAATACAACAATGCCATCGCACTCCGTCGATCATACGTGAGTGGCCATCTGCC